AATTTTGTGGAATGACAATTCTAGCTGCGGTTGTAACATGAATAATTAAATATGCTTTTTTCTTTACTATATTTCTCTGGTAAAATGCCCAACAAAAACCGTTCCGACTTTAAAGCAATATGCTGCTGCATCATCCTTTCCAACCACATACGAATTTTTGCCCAATATTCTTTTGCCTCTCCACCACATAGTGGCTGGAGGTTTTTTGAAGTTTTCCGGAGATGTGGGGCGTCCGGGGAGCCGAAAGAGGAGGCCGGGCCCGGGGCTACCGAGAAGGGCCTTGTGAGCGCCCAGGGGCCTCGCTGTCCGAAGTGCTGGGAAGCGTTTGGATGGCAATTTTTTCCACACTCGGTGAAACAAAAACGCAAAATTCCCTCCGCAACTCTTAAATGGAGGCGCGGGGGGGGGCCTGGACCACTCAGTAGATTTAGCTTCCCGGTGAATGGTTAAGCATGCACTTATTTATAAAATAAATAAATCTTTAAACGGCTTGGCATTATTTGCGTTTTTAGTTTATGCCATTTTTATCCTTTGGGATTATAAGCCGCCTAGAGTCATTTTATGGCAAGACGGGGCGGCCAATATATTTTATAAATTAATTAATTGATTATGCTGTTATATTAAAATAAATAAAGGACAGCGCCGGTAACTGGGGATGGGAGGAAGGGTGGGTTTGAAAGGACCCAACACTCCGATTATGTCCCGAAGTAAAATCTCGCCCTTTTCCCTTCCCTTCTGTTCGTCTCGTCAAGTTTTGGATCTCTGCCTCTTCCTCCCCCGCGCCCTTTGGAGCAGCGCCCGCAAGCCGCGGGGCTTGGATCGCGCCGTCTCTGCATAAATGACATATAAATAATTCTTCATTTGAAGACAGATCTAATGATGGGGAGGGGGCTTTGGAGAGGGAGGCGGTTTTGCCGCCGACAAAGATTGCATTATCGGACAACAACAACAACAAAAATCACACACAGTGTGTGTTCTTTGTTTAATAAAAATTAAAAAATTATATTTAAAAAAAAATCACACGCAGTTTTTAATAACAAAATAGACATCGGCTGAGCAATAAGTGGGTAAGAGTTTGCCAGATGTCCCGCGGAGGATTCAATTTAGTATTTAATTCTCCTTGGAAAAGGAGAAAGGATCCGGGTGACAGATCCACGTAGGATCAAGCCTTTCACCTGCCAGGACGGGGGAGGGGAGGGGAGGGGTGAAGAGGGCAGTGAGGAAGGGAGGGAGAAGCAGAGAATGAAGATGGCAGGAAGGAAGAATGGGAGAAAGGAGGAGGGGAAGGAAGGAAAGGAAGGAAGGAAAGAAAGGAAGGAAGGAAGGAAGGAAGGAAAGGAAGGAAGGAAGGAGAAGGAAGGAAGGAAGGAAGGAAGAAAAGGAAGGAAGGAACTGATGGATGTCCTTGCTCTCTCTGAACCCTTTCCCCCACCCCCTACCCCAGACATCCCTCTCTGTGCAGGCTGCAACCAACACATTGTGGACCGTTTCATCCTGAAGGTGCTGGATCGCCACTGGCACAGCAAATGCCTCCGGTGCCACGACTGCCAGGTGCAGCTGGCGGAGAAGTGCTTCAGCCGCGGGGAGAGCGTCTACTGCAAGGAGGACTTTTTTAAGTGAGTAGAACCAAGGCCAGCCTCCCCCCTCCGGCCTTCCACCCCTTTCCCTCCCCTGGGGTTTCCTGCCTAAGCAGGGGGGTTGGACTAGAAGACCTTCAAGGTCCCTTCCAACCCTATTCCAGTCTAAGATGCCCACCAGGATGATGCGATGGTCACAGTTCCTTCTCTTTTAAAGCTCCAAAACATTCCGAATTTTTCTCTTCCTTCTCATCCAACTGGATTTAAGCTCCTGCCGGTTTTAATCCACAGGAGGTTTGGGACGAAATGCGCAGCCTGCCAGCAGGGCATCCCCCCCACCCAGGTGGTGCGAAGGGCCCAGGATTTTGTCTACCACCTCCACTGCTTCTCCTGCATCGTCTGCAAAAGGCAGCTGGCCACCGGGGACGAATTCTACCTCATGGAGGACAGCCGGCTGGTCTGCAAGGCCGACTACGAGACCGCCAAGCAGAGGGGTGAGTTCGGGGCTGCATCCCACCTCTGGCTTCTCCCACCTGGCCTCCAAATGGCTGGGTGGGGGGTCCCCACGCCTCTCAGATTAGGAAGTCCCCGCAGATGGATTCCCACGCATGGAGAGGTTGCTTTTTTGGGTGGGGGGAAGTTTTTTATTTTATTTTTCCATCACCTCTCTTACATCATTAATCTCGCAGTGTGTCATCTGGGTACAGTTTTTGTCCCATCATGTTTAACAGTTACAGCATTTTTAAATCTTTTTATCTCGCCTTTACCTTTCGATTACCTTTTAGTTCAACTCCTCCCTTAGAATTCTACATTCCCCCCAATTATTCATTTTTCTATTTCTTTTTGCCTATATTCACATTTCTATCCAATAATAAAAACACCCCCATATCTTATAATACTCTGATTCTTCCTTGTCTTTAATTGCCAACGTTAATCAATTCATTTCTGCACAGCCTAATGTTTTTTTTTTAATTCTCTCTCCCTCTGAGGGATTTCCCCCCCCAATTTTGTGCAGATATCGTGGGGAGGTTGCTAAGACACAGTACTCATAACTAGGATGGGCAGAATTGTTGGTTTGCATTCCACCTTTATTATCTTTAACTCAAGGAAGTGAACATAGCTCAAACACCGTCTTCCTCCTATCCTTACAGCAGCAACAACCCTGTGAGGTGGGTTGAGTTAAGAGAGAGTGGCTGGCCCAAAGTCACCATTTTATGACTAAGGTGGGACTTGAGCTCAGGATCTCCTGCTTCCTAGCCTGGTGCTTTAACCACTAGGCCCAATTGGCTCTCATATTTCCTGCCTGTCCACTGTATATGAGGTCCTCTTTTATAGGTTGCTCTCAACTTCCAAGCATTCTTTTAACGAAGGTCCAGTTCTGGCCAAGGGCAGAGACAAAGGATGACGACCTTGGCTTTCTAGAAAGAATGTTGTTATGGCTACATCGCATCTC